GCCCCGCTGCCGCACCAGCGCGGCAGCGCAGTGTTGAGCAAGAGATCGGCTGCAAGTCCGCGCGCGGTCTGAGCTCGAGCGGGTGCTAGAAATCGCCATCGCTCCCTCGACTCCTGGGGGCCTCCAGGGGGCCACCTGCAGGGCACCTTTGGATCGCTGAAACCTAGGCAGCCCGGGCGAGGTGCGTAGGGCTCACCCTCAGGGAACCACGTTGCGCGGGGGCTCACGGAGCAGACGGAGCAGGCACCCGGCACCCGCGAGAGGGGCGAGGGACGGCCTGCAGGCAGCAGGAAAAGAGAAAGCACCAGGGGAAGGCAGGAACACGCCCTCTTCCTCCTCCTCCTCCTCCTCCCTCCTCCTCCTCCTCCTCCTCCTCCTCCTCCTCGTCCTCCTCCTCCTTCCTCATCGCGAGACTCGCCGCTTGAGCCTGCCCACCCCTTGCCACCCCGCTGCCTTCTCGCCAGTCTCGCACCAGCATACCATCTTGTCATACCTGAGGGCAAGCGCGACATCGGAGAAGGAGACGCAGGACGAGGAGGAGAAAAAGGGAGAAAGATCAAGGAGAGGAAGTGGAGAAATATCTGTAAGCCTCCATGGTTTTCTATAGGGTGGCTGCAGGATCACAGGACTCTCCTAGGGTCTGCAAGGGCTAGAAAGGAAAGGAAGGGTATGATGCACGCTGGAGGGGGAGGGGGCTCTGGAAAGGAAAGGAGAAGGAAGAGAGGAAAGGAGGGAAGAATATCATCAAAGTCTTGCCATCATGAACCATTTTTTGGAGAGCAACGTCCACGTTTCCTTGGCTATGAACTCGTTCGGTGAAAGGGCCAGCCTGGCGGGAAAAAACTGGGGGAAAGGAAACAACACATAGACCCCGACCGTTGAGGGGGACAATTTGAGGGCAAAAGACAGGGTAACCAAGAATGACTGCATCCTGCGAAGGACGCCCCGCGGCCACCGAGAAGCTCTCGCTTGCTGAAGCGACCAGGCCAAGGCAAGAAGAAGAGACGCGAGCAGATAAGACATGCACCCGGCAAAGAGGCCAGAGGAGTGCGAGTCTCAAGGGGCCGCCAGTGCAGGGCGATTGCGAGGGGGTCGAGCCCCCCTCCTCCCCCCTGGTGCAAAGTTTTTGGGTTACGTCTGGCTGACTGCGCTCGAAAAGCAAGCATGCTTCTGGTATGCGCGCGAACCCCATGAGCTGTAGTGCCACCACCGGCCCACGCTCGCGCGAAGCGTACCTCTGCTGACGCCACACGGCCAGCAAGGGCGGCAACCCCTCAACGCTGTTGCTTTAGGAGGCAACTCCTGGGAGCTCTTCGTCAGAACGATTAGGGCGTACTACGCCCGATTTGAAAGCCATAGCGCGACCGATTAGGCCGGGACCTGAAAAACGGCCGCAGAAGCGGCGATCTGATCTTTCTGTCGATTTGGCCCGACCTGGACACAACGCGATATCGCAGTTTGTCGTTCGCCATATCGCTAAAACTCCAACGCTGAATTGCGCGCACGGGTCCGCAATACACACCCTACCAGACCTCGCCATGATGCACCGCGATACGCTGTCTCATCCGCCCAGAAATGGTCGACGCAATCAGCGTCCGATTTTGCTCCCGAGTTTTGCGTCCGATTTGCGTCCGATTTTGCGTCCGATTTGCGTCCGATTTTTGTCCGATTTGAAATCAGATTTGCGTCTGATTTATTTTAGGATTGAATCGACACACAAAAAGTCGGACGCGAAATCGGACGCGAAATCGGTCGCAAAATCGGTCGCTTCTGGGCGCACTTCCGGGCGCTCTTTCGGGCGCTCTTCCAGATTCGCGTCTGGGCCATATTCTGGGCACTCTTGATGGAAGTTTTTTGGGCGCTGTTCTCAGCACTCTTCTGGGCTCGCCCGGGCGCTCGCCCCAGCGCGCTCCCAGGCGCTCTTCCGGGCTTTGTTCTGGTCGCCCCCAGCGCACCTTCTGGACACCAGGCGCGCGCCCGATTTGCACTGTGAAAACCGAAAAACCAAAAAATCAGAAGCAAATCTGCCCTGCCACCGCGGCGAGGTTATAGGCTGAACCTCGGATTAAACCGAGCTGCGCGGGATTCGGCCGGACTACGCGGGATCAAGCCGGATCAAGCGTGATTCAGCCAGATTAAGCCAGTCTTCGACCAAGGATCTACCAGCGCCAATTCTGAACTTAACCTAGGGGGGGGGTGCACCCTAAGGGGGGATGCATCCAAAGGGGTGGTTCGAGGGTGCTCGCAATTGTGGGGTGACTGGCACTTCTCGTGGAGGAGGCCAGCTACTGTATGGAGGCCTTTTGTTGGGGCCGCGGGAACCCTCGAGGGGCCTCCGAGGGGCATCCTCCGTGTCGGGGCCCACTGGGTGCTCTGACAAACCAGGACATTCGTGAGCCGAGACATTCTCCACTCTGGGCAGGCACAAAACAAAAACCGATACTGTTACTCCCCGGACCTCGCCAGGGGTGCGTTCTGACCAGAACTTCGAGGCGAATCCAGCCGTGGCGACGAGGGAGGGGTATCTGTATCGTGATATGTTCCTCCTCTGAATCTGGATCTGGCAAAGTC